TGCTTACTCCTGCCTCCTTGCACCTCCTCAGCTGGTTGGTGGGACAGACCCACAAGAGCCTCCTCCAGGGTAGGGCTTAAAAGATATCTTTAGAAATTATTTACAATCCTAAATCATGGGGATTTGAGCTGCTCTTTCAAAAGTGAGAATGTGTCCGCCTCTCTTCTCTATTTATTCTCACTCATGATTTAAACCCAGGTTTAAATGCCATCTGGATCCCAGTGACTTCCACATTTATATCTTTAGCTCTCTCTCCTGAAACCCTGAAACCCAGACTCATGTATCCAACTGCCTACACCACACCTCTTCTTTGATGCCCATCTCAAGCTTAACATATTTGAAATTTCGGATTCCCTTCCCACTCATAAATATGTTTCATCCATAATCTTCCCCATCTCAGTTGATGGAAAAGTCTTCCTCCCAGTTGCTCAGGCTAAGAACCGTACAGTCATCCTTGACTCCTCTCTCTCATATCACACACCTTATGCGTTGAGAAATCTCTTGGCTCTTCCTTCAAAATACACCCGTCATTTCTCATCACCTCCCCTATACTGGTCACGATCAACATAGCCTCATCATTTGGATCACTGCAATCCTCTCCCAGCTTTTGTCTTTGCCCCCCTATAGTCTGTCCAAGCAGAGTGATCCTTTGGTCATGAGATTATGTCACTCTGCTCAGAGTCCTAGATTGACTTCTCATTACAGTGATCTCCAGGGGAAAGATTGATGGGGAGATTTGACCCCATCTAGAACCAATCTTTATGCCTTCTCTGGTTTCCATGTGTGCCCAGTAATGGCAGTACCACTGTGTCCCTTTAAATGATGCTGATTTCTACTGGTAGTCCCATGCCAAGGGACAGGCAAAAGTTGCAGAGAGCTTAGGATAGTATGGGCCTGAACTTTCAAGGTGACCACAAGTTTTGTGGTTAGTTTGAGTCCATTCCAAAGTGGAAACACATGCAAAAAGCAAGGAGATAGCTCTTCAAACTGAACTAAAGTTAAAATTGAGAGAACATGCTGACAAGTTTCATGGAATGTGAAAGTATCAGTATTACAGCTAGTTAAGACCTCAGAGCTAAGCTTTCCCTGCTCCTTAGGGAGGAAGACAACAGGAAAATAAGGGCATAGAAAGATCCCTAGGAGGACCCATGTTGGAATCGTTGCTCTTCTGTTATAGAAGAGTACATTACTGTCCAGGAAAGGTACACTCCTTCTCTCGCCCCAACTCCATGGGAGGATTTTGATGTTGGTCTTGGCTGTGTCACTTGCTTTGGCCAGTGAAAAGTGGATAGAAGCAACAATGTGTGTTTCAAGCCTAGGCCTTAAGCAACATCACACATTTTGACCTCCACCATGAGAAGTTCTTGATCCCAGAAAAACGAGAGCCATGTGGAGCCAAGCTGTCCTAGCTGGCCTGAGACCTACAGAGCTGCTCCAAACAACCTACAGATGCAGGAGTGAGAAATCAGTGCCTACCCTTGAATGCTTGTTTATTATGCAGAAGCTGCTGCCTAATACAGCCACTTACTTGATGCGTGTCCTTGACAAATGGCTTCCCTTCTTAGAGCCTTAATTTCCTCATCTGTAAACTGGGATAGCAGTTGTGCTTATTTTGAGGATGGAGCCTTTAAGGGCACCAGGTAAGGTGCTTCACGTAAAGCTCCAGCATCGAGCCTGCAGTGTGGAAAGCGCCGGGTTAGCGTCACTTCCCTGTTCCCGTGCTGAGCACGTTGCACAGTGGGTGCCACGTTTAAGTGAGTGCGGCAAACTGCAGCCATGCTGGGGTGTAGCTCTGGGCTGGTTGGGAGAGTGGGTGGGGGTCGGGGTGAGGTGTTCCTGGGTGGTGTGGTTGGGGGGATCCATTTCTTTCTTTCTTACTTAGAAGTATGAAAGCAGGATACTCTGAGAGGTGCCCCTGAGCCGTGATGACTTTGTCTCCACCAGAATTCGTGGGCCTGTGCCAGCATAACCTGCTGCCTCCTGCAGAGCCTCTGAGAGACTTCTAGGCTTGTGTTTCCCACCCACTGACTGTGTCCTCATGAATGACGCCTGTTTCAGAAACTCCCCTGCTTGCTGCCTGGCCAACCTTCCACAGGCTGGCTGCCTCAGGGAGCTTAGCCGGAGGGAAGAGCGCTGGCACTTTCCTGCTGAGAAAATCTATCCCTTGCAGCCCCACTCCTGGGCATCACAGTGTCTCGGCCATTCCCCTATGTCACGGCCAGTCATTATCCCTGCAGTGTTCCTTCCTCCAGGTATGTGATAAAGGTGCTCCTGGGAGCACATCCATTCTTCCCCAACAATGCGAGAGCGCAGAACACCTGTGATCAGGGGCCTGGAACAGTTACCTGAAAGGTAACCACCTTCCCCCACGCCGGGTCTCGTTATCTTGTTTTAGTTCCCCTTGGCCCTGGCAGACAGACAGAGGGACAGCTATTCCCACTGCTAGGAGTGTGTCGTAGAGGTGGTGAGGGCATCTCCTCAAACATGTCTTCTGCATAAACTCCTCAGCCTGTTATCTAGACCCTTCGAGATCTGACTCCAGACTGTCCTTCCTGCCACTCCCTCTGCCTTGTCGCTGCGACTGCAGGGGGCCGTTCGTTTCCCCAGCAATTTCAGGCCATCACCAGTGTTTACCAGGTGTGCTGTGGGGCCTGAGATGAAGAGCTGATGAAGGCAGCCCCTCCCTTTAAACCCTTCATAGCCCTTTAATGCTTTCCTTGCTTTTGTGTACACTCCTCCTTAGCTTGGAATGTCCTCTCTCTTTCTTTCTTTCTTGTTTCCTGCCTCCATCTCCCTCCCTCCCTTCCTTCCCTCTTTCTCTCTTTCTTTTCTTTCCTCACCAAATGGTCATCATCTACTCAGTCCTTATTTGAAAGGCAATTGCTAAGTACAAACTTGCCATGAATTGTAGGCAGACTTTCTGTGACCTCAAAGAGTTCTGTTCATATTTCTCACACATTGTACTTGTTACACAAATCTTCATGAAACACTATAGTATGTCTGTCTCCATGACTAGAGGGCGAGCGCCTGCCTCATGGACAGGAAACGTGTTCTACTAATCTATCTCCTGGCACTCCGGAGCCACTCAGTAAAAATTTGCAGAGTGAGTGAGTGAACAAATGAATGAAGGTCTTTGGTTTAAAGACTGCTACCCACTTCAGCTATTGCCCAGGTGTGTCCTTGGTTCTCATGGACCCGATGGGGGTATCAGCAGGGACAGCTCACTTGAAGTAGATGAAGCTGAATTTTCCCTTAGCCACAAAATGGCAATTCATCACTGGTCCCAACAAGATCTGTCACCTTGGTTCTCCAACCCCTATTTGCACCAGAATCGATACCTGGTCTTAAGAAAGGCCACCTTCCCCCTGCACAGACACACGTGGATGTTTTCATCTTTGGCAGCAGCCACATCACTTAATATTAATCAGACCAGAGCTGGGAGTAGGGTGGGGAGGAAAGTCACACTAATGATTGACTCTGCAGCTGGCAATCTGTTCGATTGCGTGTTGGGGCTTAATGTGTGATTTCATGGCTTTTCACGGTCTCTAAACTGCATCAAGCTTATTCGAAAACATTTTATTTAATTTTTATGCTCTTTTAATCAAAAAAGCTAAAAGACTAATAATCTTTTATGGGCAGTTATAAAATGTATTTGCACACAAGACAGAAATGAGCAATCTAAGTTTGAACTTAGAGAGGACCCCATGGGGGCGCTGCTGAGGATAGGCAGGATGGTTCTGGAGATAACTTAATTTATTCTTCTAGGAGATTCTCCAGGTTCATTCAGCACCCCCAGCGCCGCCACACCAACCTCTTCACATGGGAGTGACTTCATATGGAAGCGCTGTGTGGGAAGGGCTGGTGTCTGGTCCATTTTTATATTCTAGGAGCCTTACTTGGTGCCTGTCATGAGGCAGGCGTGCAGGAAATGTTGGCTGAATGAATGAATAAATGAACGAGGGAAGGGTTCTCCATACTTTCCCTCCAGCAGTCCGAGGTGAGATCTGGAGGCATTCACTCTGCCTTTCCCCATCACCAGTGGAGGCAGGAGCAGCAGTGTCCTCCACCTCACTGGGTGGAGCACATGCCAAGAGGATGTGGAATATTAGGTTTGTATGCTGTGTTTTTACTTTTGTGATAATCAGATTCAGGATCCTAGTCTTAGAAGGACTTTAAGAAACTGAAGTTTAACTTCTTCACGTTACAAATGAGGAAACAGAGTCAAAGTGAGGAAGCTCTTGCTTAAGGACAGAGTCAGGACTTGAATTCCACTTTCCTGCTCACTCCTAATTAGTTAAAATTTTTTTCCTGTACTGTTTTCTTTCAGCCCTTGACATGTGCTATTTCCTATAACTGTTCCCAAAGCCTGCAGCTTCTGGGATTGCTGCTGAAGACAGTAGCATCCATTCTCTCATTTCCCTTCAACTCTGCACTGTTCTGTCTTTTCCGCTTAAGGATTCTGGGGATAAAACCCCTAGAAACCCAAGAAAACTGGACAGAGTTCTCTAGATCAGTGAACCACACATGGGAATGATGAAAAATGCCACCCTGCCTCCCTGAAAGGGAGACCCAGTGACACAGAAAGGGAGATGTGGTCCAGCTGGGGGCCTTTGTATTTGTTGAAGTTGAATCCAAACCACCTGGTGAGCGCTTTTTCAATCACATAATTGGCAAAGCCCCAAGTGTGGCCAGCTGACATGGTGGCATCTGTCAGCTAGTAGGGTCCCCTAGCCCATTACCAATCCACAGGATAATGATGACCATCATCATAATAATCGTTATTGCCTTAGACGGGCTTGGATGACAAAGGCACTCTGGGGACTTCTGTTTGAAATGAGTTGCTTCTTAGCCAACCCTGGCTCTCCAGAGTGACTTTCTATAGAATTAAAGGATCATGAAGCTGAAAGGGGCCCTTGGAGATCATCAGTTCTGGCTCTCTGCCTTCAGACAAGATAGACCTTTACAGAATACTTGCTGTAAGGAAACTGAACCAAACTTACTTTTATATGTTATTCTTGTGATAGTATCTCTGTTGAGCATTCGATTAAGGAATGGGTTTGATGAGTCAGAAACCTAGGGGAGAAAAGAAAATATTAATAACTGGGTGGCACTATCCCAGGATAAACATTGTCTCCACACACTTACTTATTCACTCATATTTAATGAGTGCCTGCCATGCTCCAAACACTGTGATGGCCGGAGATTCAGAGATCAAATATACAGAATCTACTTTACAGAAACCCCAGTCTGGAGAAAGAAGACAGGTAAGTAGACCAATGGTTATAATTTAGTGTCAAGAGTGCTATGGTAGTTATAGATGTGATGATAGTAGAAGACCACCCAGCTGGGGACTCTGAGGAGCCACGGTCTGGGCTGAGTCTGGAAGGATGGGTGGAAGTTAACAAAGTGCTTGATAGTAGAGTGTGGAAAAGGAGGAAGGGTGAGGGAAGCCAGGACACATGGTGGGTTGGGCATTCACGGACATGGGAGAAACTAGTCATGTTTGGTTGAGTATCTCAGTGTCGTTGGAGGTAAGAATACGGGGGAGGGATGAGAGGCAAGGATAGAGAGGGAGACAAGGGCTAGGTCACGTCAGACTTTGAATGTCATGTTAGGGCATTTCAACTTTATTCTGTAGGGATGGGAAACCATCAAAGAGTTTTAAGTAGGGAGTGGGAGGGACATATTGGGGGGGTAGTTATGTAAGAAGAGAATGAAAGGGAAAAAGTACCCACAACAGTGGTATCAGGAGACGAAAAAGATCTCTAAGAAATAATACAGAATCTTATTATATCACTGCTCATTATTACATGAATCAAATATATCATAAGCCATGTCATCCAGTCAATCATCCATCCATCCATCCATCTACCCATCCGATAAATATTTCCCAGGTGCCTACTATGGGTGACACATTTTACTTGATGTTCAGGGATCAGTTCTCATTTTATGTCTGCGCCTTCAGGTCTCTAAATTCCTTCTTTATGAACAAACTAAGCTTCCAGGGGCTTTAGCCAGAGAACCACCGTTTGGAGACTGTGATGTGCCCACACATAACTGTGTAGACTGTTTTCTTAAAAACTCTCTTTTCACTCAGCCTTTCCCATGGTGCCATTGTTCATCTTAGTTATTTCTCTCCTACCTCTCTCAGCTCTGCTCTGTAATTTACGCCTCAGCTGCTAATCGGATGTTGTGACACATCCGCATTTTAAATCTGATTTATTCGGAGGGTTGGAAAAATCACAGCAGATGATTATTATTATTAGATAAGCAACAGGTAATTTTTAGTTTAGAGAAAGCACAGACTGTTTACTTTCCCTCCATCTGTCTTTCCTTTCCCACACATTTTCCTGGGTGTGTTGTTATGTGAGACATACACCAAGGGGAGCTTGGTGAGTGACAGTGTTCAGTGGAGGTAAAAATCCCACCCCTGAAACAGAGAAAAGTCCCAAATCAAACACTGCTGCTCCCTGGAAGCTTTAGTGCCAAATCCAATCTCTACTTTGACATCCTCTTCTGCTATTTAAAAGACAGCCTGAAGCTGCCTGTTTATGCGGATACACCCCATGAAGGGAGAGCCAAAAATACACTGTTGTGGCACGTAAGGAATCTGCCATGTCCCTTAATCGGTGCCTGGTATTCCTGGTACCCGTTGAGTCTGGGCAGAGCTAATGTTGGGACTGGACCCTTTTGCGCTGATTAAAAATAATTGAAAAATTTCCAAAGTGTGCACAGATGATTTGTGGGCTCTAGTGTGTTGGCTGCGTGGGTGAGAGGATAAAATATGTACTTGGTATAAGTGAGCTTAAGTGGGAAGTTAATGGCGTGTGATTGAGCAGCAATTATAGCCAAATCTCAGTTCTCTGTGCTCATAGGAAGGGTGACAGATTAGGAGGGGACAGAGATAAGTAAAACCCACAGATAAACAAATCTCTGATTTTAACCAACAACTCTAACCCTTTTATGGCTCAGCTTTTGGCCAGGGAGACATCTGTAGTGCTCAGCTGACCTAGATATGGGGCCTCTCATTTTCTGTTCCTGCCTACCCTGCAGGGAGCTGGGAAAGGGAGGCAGAAAGATCAGAAGGAGCGGAGGACTGTGTGGCTTAGAAAACCCAGGGCTTTGTTCACGTCATTTCTGGTAGGTACCGGCGCTCAGCACAAGGCTGGCCCGTGTCCCACGCTCAGTCGGTGTTTGGGGATGAGTGAATGACAACTCACAGCTTGGATAACTCATGGTGGAGCATCTGGGAGTTGAGTATGTTGGACAAAGATAGAGATGCTGTGGCTTATTTTGAGATCTAGCCAGAAAGCATCAGGTTTGCTCAGGGAAAGAACAGAAGCACCCCCAGGGGCCAGACTGGCCCGAGGAAGATACAGGAGAGCTAGTCACCACCCTCTCACTGGCCTCAGGGTCTGGGGTGTAAGTTCCTCCCGACGACCGGCAGGGAAGCAGCCGGGACCCGCATCAGTAATCTCAGTGGAGCGAGTGTCTCTGCAGCAGCTCATGAAACACACCAGTAGTTTGCAGTTGAGGAGGCTGAATTCCTGGCGAATCAATTACCCTGTCAGCTGTAATGTGCCAGCACTTCCAGGAGGACATTCACTGACTCAGGGTCTCTGAGCAGAGTGAAGCCTAGTCAGTGGACAAGGCTGAGGCAGCCACCAAAGCTCAGGAGCTGTTGGGCAGCTCTCACACTGGCCACGAGAGTTACTCATGGAAGGTCTGGCGCTGGGAAAGCTATAGCGGGTGGGAGCCCCTGGACACGCACAGCACAGTGTTGTGATATGTCTGCAGGCTCCATAACAACGAGTGTGGTCCAGGCTGAACACATCAGTTGGTTATCGCTGTCATAACTGGGGCTGGTTGAGGGATACAGGTATTTGTCCTGTGTTTGTGGGCAACATGGGGATGTGAGGGAAGAGGGGTTTTTTTATGGTTTTTTGTTTCGTTTGTTTGTTTTCTTAGGTGGGGATTAGGTTTTTATTTATTTATTTGAGTGGAGGCACTGGGGATTGAACCCAGGACCTATATGCTAAGCACATACTCTGCCACTGCACTATGCCCTGGCACCTGAGAAGTTTCTAAGGGTTGTTTTTTCGCTTCTTCCCAGCTATGTGAATAAGGTCATTAGTATTAATGTCAAGCAAGACCCGGGTTCCTTCCCTGATGGGCTGTTATGAACTACACGAACTTGGATGGAATGCCAAAGATTCTCTGAACCATTTTTCTTATTTGCAAGATAGGGACACTGATGCCCACCCCACAGGTTTATAATCAGGGTTCAGTGAGTAAATACATGTAAAGTACGTATCTATCTCAGTGCCTGGCATTCAGGAATCTACTGTTTATCATAACAGAGTTTGTGATGATGCCAAGAGGCAGGAGCTGACTGTCCCAGGACCAGTTTCTCTGGGGGAAGTCACATCAGGGATTAAGAAGGCATGATGGCCTAAAAACATGCTTCTCTGGTCAAAATCCCCTTCCTGTTTTGGCCACTGATAAGCTAGAGGGCTTTGGGGTTCGTGGCCAGTGGCAGCAATGTGTCACTAATGCTCCTGTCCAATGTTCAGCTCTGCTAGGACCCCAAAAAGGCCTGCCCTGACCCAGGTGAGGGAAAGGAGGTTAGGAGGAAGTGTGGAGTCTTGAGAGGGGTGACCAGGCAGGGCAAAGCACCTGTTGCAAAGGGTGATGCTTTTGAGGAGGGCGAGGAAGTAATGCCTGGCTTTGCCCCTGTGTGTCTGAGTGGTAATGATGTCATCACCAGAGCTCAACCTGGTGCCAAATGTTGAATTTCCATTAATTGTCATCAGATTCCAAGTTCTGACAAGAATATGTCCTCTAATGATCTGGCTAAAACTTCCCAAGGGAAGTCACTGCTAGCACAGTGATTGCCAACTTTTGGAACTGCCACAGGTTGCTTTTTTTTTTTCCACTTTATGTTTTTTTTGTTGAAAAGACAATTTCTTTTTTATACTTGCATACCTGTTTCACTTAACATCTGTCAAACCGTTAAAAGTAATTACTTTTTAATAAATGAGAATTTGCTTGGTTGGAGATTTGTTGTTGATGATGACTCTTAAGGAGATGTGGAGCTTCCCCAGAATGTCATAAAGAAAGCACAGGTGACCTTTGCTTAATTAGCCACAGGGATGCCTACGAGGGAGAGGGACACTGAGAAGGAAGGATGATACACAGAGCGACTGGGGGAGGCTGAAGGGAGCTGTTTAGTGCAGTGTCTGGAGGGAAGGGATATCTCACATTTTTCTTTTCTTTCTTTTGCTGAGGGTCAACTGATGAACAGGACTTTAATCCTGTGGGGTCTCAGTGAGAACCTCCCTTACCTTCTATTGCTTCCTTCTGAGTTTTCTGCATGAGTGGGACCTAAAGCCTGGCCCTGGACCCAGCATCCTTTTTTTCCTCGAGAACAAAAGCCATCCAAATCCTCAGGCCCCAGTGCTCTAAAATGGAACTCAGTGTTTTTGCATCTCACTGAAAAGGGACTTCATTTTTCATGGATCTCATGGACATGAAAATTATCACCCTGCAGCTTTTCTTAGGCATGGGGAACATTAGTCCTTTTGTTATTTCTGAGATCCAACATGGCTGTAAACTGATATTCTGACTGGAACGGTAATGGCGAGGAGAGAAGAATGAAGGAACACAATGCACTTACTTTTATAAATATAGAAACTACCACCAATCCGTTTGGGCTCTTCGCAGCTTCTGTCACATTTGTATATAGCTCGTGGTTATAGTGGATGAGCTGCACCTGGCGGGAGGGAAAAGCAATAATAAGAACAACAATCTAGCATTAAAAAGATGTGAGGCACAGCATATCCACTCCACACAAGGGTAAACTGTAAAGTCTGTTGTAGGACAATTGGAAAGACAATCTTATTATTGAAAAGATTTCAGAGATACTGTGTGTGTGTGTGTTTGAGTAAAATGCACGCACACATACACATACACACACACAAAAATACCCACATACATATTTGCAAGTGTTTTCTGGTAACAATCATGCCTTTAATAAGCTCAGTGCCCATCTGGCTCTGGCTCCATTCCTGGACATTTCCCCTAAAGTGTGGGAGAAGTGAATTTTTCTTATTAGGAGCAAAACTGCCCTACAGGGGTGGACGTGCTTTCCAGGCTGCACCCACAGCTGCCATTGGCAGTGAGTAAATCTTCCCCATGGCCACGGGGGAGCAGGGAACTGCTAGGACCTGAGTCAGCTCAGTGACTCTGAGAGGAGACCGGTCAGCCTGCAAGATGCAGTGCTCTGGATGGAGAGAGAGTAGATGGCTTAGGCTCCTGTTGGACCAACCTCCCCAGGTCATCTGATTGTGCAGGACTTAACTTGCTTCTCATTCAGTGAGGATCAGCCATCTGCCTCTTGAGCCCTTGTGCATTCATTTCAGGCTGTGGTTTTAAAATAGATTTTTTAAACAGTATGGAAGTATAATTTTTGTATCAAACTAAAAGAGAAGTTGAAAAAAAGTTCCCTCTTCCCGCCTCTTTCTCATAATCCCAGCCCAAGCAATTATGACTATTAACAGTTTAGTATACATCCTTCCATATATTTTTCTGTTCTTATAAATCACACACACATTCCCATGTATGAATAAATTCCTAGAAATGAATGGATAAATTCCTAGAAACATACAACCTACCAAGACTGAATCACGAAGAAACAGAAACCCGAAAGATGAGTACAATTCAGGTGATTGAAGTAGTAATCAAAAAATCTCTCAGCAAAGAAAAGCCTTGGATCAGATGGGTGCATTACACCAATCACTCAAAGAAGAATTCATACCAATCCTTTTAAAATCTTCCAAAAAATCAAAGGAGAGGGAACACTTCCAAACTCATTTTATGAGTCCAGCATCATCCTGATACCAAAGCCAGACAAAGACACTGCAAGAAAAGAGAACTAAAGGCCAATATCCCTAGTGATCATAGATGCAAAAATCTTTAATAAAATACAAACAAACTAAACTCAGCAGCGTGCTAAAGGGATTATACACTATAACCAAGTAGAATTTATTCCTGGGATGCAAGGATTGTCCAACCTATGAAAATCAATGTATGTGACACACCAAATTAACATAATAAAAGATAAACCCCACATGACCATCTTGATAGATTCAGAAGAGGCATTTGACAAAACTGACCATCCATGATTAAAAATCTCCACAAAACAGAAGGAACTTACATCAATACAATAGAGGCCATACATGAAAATTCCATAGCTAACATCAAAATTAATGGGGAAACACTGAAAAGCTTTCCTCTAATATACAGTACAAGGTAAGAATGCCCACTCTTGCCACTTCTGTTCAACTTAGTCTAGGCCGAGCAATTAGACAAGGCAAAGAGATAAAAGGCATACAAATCAGAAAGGAAGAAATAAAATTGTCTCTGTTTGTGGATGAAATAATCATATATGGAGAACATACTAAACACTCAACCACAACAAAAAACTGTTGGCACTGATAAATGAATTCAGCAAAATTGCAGGATACAAATTGAGTACACAAAAATCGGTGGCATTTCTATAGACTAACAGTGGACTATGGGAAAAGGAAATTAAGAAAACAATTCCATTTACACAATAGCAGCAAAAATAATAAAATACTTAGGAATAACCTCAACCAAAGAAGTAAACAACTTGTACACTGAAAACTGTAAAACACTGATGAAGGAAATTAAAGATGATTAATGGAAAGACATCCTCATGTTCATGGGTTTGAAGACTTAATGTTGCTAAAATGTCTGTACTACTACAAGTGATCTACAGATTCAATGCAATCCCTATCAAAATTCTAATGGCATCCTATAGAAATAGAAAAAAAAATCCTAAAATTCATTTGGGACTACAAAAGACCCTGAAATAGCTAGAGGCATTACATTTCCTGGTTCTAAAAGGTATTTCACAGCTATAGTGTATAAATACATATGTATAGACCAATGGAACAGAACAGAGAACCCTGAAATAAATCCACACACTTATGGTCAAATGATCTATGGATGCCAAGAACACATAATGGAGAAAGGTTAGTCTCTCCAACAAATGATGCTGGGAAAACTGTATATCCCATGCAGAAGAATGATCCTGGACCCTCATCTCATACCACATACAGAAATCAACCCCAAATGAATTAAAGACTTATGTGTAAAACCTGAATCTATAAAACTACAAGAGGAAAACATAGGAAACATTTTTTTTTTGGACATTGGTCTTGACAATGATTTTTTTTTGGTTATTACAGCAAAAAGTTCAGGCAATAAAAGCAAAAATAGACAAGCAGGATTGTATCAAACTAGAAAGTTTCTGCACAGCAAAGAAAACAAGGCAACCTACAGAAAAGAATAAAATATTTGCAAAGCATGTATCTGATAAGGGGTTAATATCCAAAATATATAAGGAACTCATATAACTCAATAGCAAAAAACCAAATATCTTGATTAAAAAATGGGCATGGTGATGATAATTAACAAGATTGTATTGTATATTTGAAATTTGTTAAAAATGCAGGTCCTAAATTAAATCTTCTTAACACACACACACATACAATAGTAACTATGCAGGGGTGAAGAATATGTTATTTAGTTTGGTTGTGGTGAGCTTTTCACAATGCGTACATATATCAAAACATCAAATTGTACATCTAAAATATATATAACCTTTATATATCAAAGATATTTCAAAAAAGTTGTTAAAAAGTCAAAAATAAAAAAATGGAATCATCATAATTTTGAACTTAACTTTTTTAACTTAAAAATGGTTTACAGCTATCCTTCTAAGTCAATGTGTGCAGACCTACTTACCTAAGTCTTTCTAATAGCCATAGAGTTCTCCAATGCGTGAATGCCCTCTCACTAGTTTTTAGGTTGTTTCCATTTTTTTGTCTCTTGTAAACAATGTTACAGCAAGCCCAGCATATATCTTTCTATAATGGTATTAGCATTTTCCACAGGCTGATTTGAGAATCTAATAAGATAGTGGATGTAAAAGTGATTTATGACTCTGAAAGTATAAAGAGTATTCATTATTACCAACATCCTGCATTGAATTTAAAAAGGAGGTGAAGTTTTTAGAAGCTGAGAAAGTCAATGATCAAATAAAGGTACTTTTCCTTGATCTTTGAAAAAAACATCTCTAACACAGTGAATTTCAACCTTCACTGTGCATCCAGTTCACCTGGGTACTTAAAAAACCCACCTATGCCTGACCCTCCACCCCCTAAATTCTGATTTGATTGATTTGGGGGTGGGAACAAGGTACTGGTACTTGTTTAAAGCTCTCCAGCTAGAGAGGAACTGGCGTGGAGAACCAGGGCAACGTTACCCATGAGCACCAGCATCCCGTCAGTGCCCACTCAGGTGGGTGGTGCCCTGAGTCTGAGAATATCCTGAACGTCTTGAGTCAGTAGCGCGGCTCATGGAGGGAGCACTCGCTATTGCTGCTCTTGAAATATCCGATTTGTTTACTGCTTCTTCACGTCTTGTGAGTTTTGCCAGTGGTGGCAGATGGTTTAATACAGCAGCTACTCTGCCATCAAAAGGCCAATGATAGGCAGAGGCTAGTGAGTTAGCTCTGCCTGTGCAGGACTCAGGCCCGGCAGGCTGATCGGGCCTCTGCTCAGCAATCTCCTTTCTCCCTGCTCCCCACCCACACAGCCAGGACTTTCTGCAGGTGGAGAACCAGGAGCTATGGGGGCACCTGCCACACCTCCTTTCTGAGTTGAGTAAGCTTCTTGATGAGAACCAAAACAACGTCCTGCCATCTGCTAAGATCTTCCCATCAGGTGACTTGCAAAACCACCTGGGAATGTGCTAGTGCTGAAGCAGGCCTTGACATTTCAGCTTGTTCTGAGAACTAGGCCTTGGAGAGCAGGGAGGTGGAAGGCAATCCCATGGAGTGATTCCCCTCTCCAACTCATAAGACTGGAAAAGGCAGGAAGATGTCTCTCGGGTGCTCCACTGGGTGGATTCCAGAGGGACTGGGCGCTGTGAGAGAGAGGCTGGCAAGCATGGGCGCAAGGCTGTGCTGTGCTGCAAGCTTAACATGTTAAGAATTTTGATCTGAAGTCTTGCCTCCTCCTTGCTCCAACGTACGTTGCCTAGGATTCTGAGATCAGGTTGAACCAAATGAAATTGACTTTCTGATCTACAAAAATGATGATTTTATAGAGTTAACATAATCTTAAATAAAGCTGTTTTGAATGCAGCATTCACCCCTCACACACATAGACATTAGACATTAAAAAGGCGACACAGTCCTTTGCTGCTCAACATGCAGCGCAGGGACCAGCAACAGCCACAGGATCTGGGACCTTGATAGAGAAATGCAGAATCTTGAATCCTACTCAAGACCTCCTGAATTAAGATCTTCATTTTAACCAATTTCCAGTGATTTGAACGTACGTTATCAGTAGTTGAGAAGTATCGGTTTAGCAGACACTGCTGGCTGGTTAGCAGGGCCCTAGTTCGTCTGGCTGAACTGTCCTCTGGTCCACTTTGGCTGAGTCTAGGGGCACATGCATTATGGATGTTGGAAGAGGGGCTGAGTTCAGTTCATAGGAGACCTAGAAGAGGAGCCACAAAAGGGGTTTGAACAGGAGATAAGATAATGAGAATGGACTGTAAGAGGGAGGTTGGAGCAAGGGGAAACTGGGGGAAGGGAGGATATAATTTCAGGTGGAGGCTGTTAAGGCAGAGACCGTTCCACAGGACTTTGCCATTTGTAGGCTGTGCACGTGTGTGACT